TCCTCCCATTACCCCGTCTTCCAGATCACTGATCTGTTCTTCTACATCCTCTAATCTTCTGTGGATTATCTCTGGTTTTTGGTTTTGTTTCATAATCTAAGCAATTGAGTTCTTTATCTCTGACTGGCTCTTCTTTTATACATTTCTTTGTTGAAGTTCTGAGTTCATTCATTCTATTTTCAAGTCCAGTGACTATCTTTATGATCATTACTTTGAATTGTCTGTCAGGCATATTTGCTTATCTCAGTGTCATTTAATTCTTTTGCTATGATTTGTTTCATTTGGGACATATTTCTCCATGTCCTCGTTTTGTCTAACTCTGTGTTTATGTCCATATATTAGGGAGATCATTTATGTCTCCTGCTTTTTTAAAAGTAATGGCCTGCAGAAGAGGTCCTGTGGTACCCTGTCAATCCTCCCTGGTCACCAGAAACAGGTACACCTGGGGTGTCTCCTCTGTAGGCGGTGTGTGCCCTAATGTTGTGGTGGAACTCCTTTTGTGTTCAGCTCAGCCAATTGCAGTGACCCATTGTAGGCACACTAGGCAGTTTGTGCAATTGAGAAGTCTATTTTGAGGCCTTGGCAGGCTAGTAGGTGGGTAGGGTCAGCAATCAGGCTGTTTGCCCTTAGCCTTTCTGCCACAGCTGTGGGATACCAAAAAGCACACCTTCTTTCTGTTCAGCCAGTAAAGAGGCTTTGATGCTGGAACTTTGGGCATTCTAGTGTGTAGGATTATCTTCCCCTTTCCCCAGGGCAGGAATCACTTTTGAGTGATGCTGGTCCCTGCTGGGGTTGCTTGCAGGTTATGGTGGGGCAGGAACCACTTTGGTGGAATGCCTGACAGGGTGGCAGGAGGGTTGGATGGTCAGGTCTGCAGGTGAATGTGGGGACAGAGCACATAGTACTAGCAAGATAGGTAGAGAGTGTTAGTACTGGCTCCTGCAAGTGTCCGACTACCTAGGATGAGAGAGGGCAAGAGAAATGACACCTTACCAATACTTTTGTTTCTAAAGAAGTCTTCTGATGATTCCCCCCTCCCTCTCCCCCCCCCCCCCGCATATGTTCTAAGATTACTGAATAAAACTCCTTCATGTATACCCCAGGCACTTTTCAGACTGCTGTTGTGCTGTGTCTCTGGTTGAGTTAATAATTATGTTGGATTTTTAAAGGCAGGACTCTGTTCCCTATTGTTATCTGACCCTGTTGAAGTTAATCCCAGCTGATTTTTAAAGTATGCGAAGTTAAGTCTTGCTGATATAAAGCTCCTAAAGTTAAGTCCCATTGGTTTTCAAAGCTTGATGTTATGGGAACTCATCTTCCCAGTGCATTCCCCAGTGTCCTGCGTGCTGGTGTAGGGTTTAATCCTCTTCCTTTTCTTTAGTTATGGTATAAGTCCTGTTTGTGGTTAATCTCACCTGGCGTTTTGATTCCTAATTGTGCCTCCACCTCTTCTATCCTTTTTGATGTGACTACCTGTCTGTGATCTAACTGTGGAAAGTCTTCTCTGCCAGTCTTCAGATTATTTTCAGAGCTAGTTACTTATATGTGGCTATAATCTTAGAGGTGTGTCCATGGGAGGAGGTGAGTTTGGGATCATCCTACGTATCTTTCCTGAATTTCTATTTGATTCTTAGTTTTCATCTCAGCTGATCTGCATATGATGGCTCTCTTTCCCATTAGACCTTTTAATGTTTTAATCATAATAATTTTATACTCATTGTTTAATTATTTCTGTTTCATATCTTAATCTAGTTCTTTTGACTGCTTTGGCTCTTGACAATTATTTTTTTCTTGCTTTTTTATATGCCTTGTGCTTTTTGTTGAACATAGGTTATCTTATATAGTGACAATAGTATTCATGTCTAGAACTGGGCTTGCCTTTCTTCTAAATCTTTAGTTTGGAATAACGTTTGATATGTTAGAAAGAAACAGTAAATTATATGAGAAGCTATTATAAACTTTGCGGAGTTAAATGCATCCTACTTTATTTGTCATTGTCTTTTTATTTCCTTGTAATTATGTGGGGATCTTATTCTATTAATTCATTCTCTGTACTTTTTAAAACATACTTTTAGAGAATGAACTGAACTTATATCCATTTTACAAATGGAAATTTAAGTAAAATAAGAAATACCTATCAAATAATGGAATGGGAACTTGATTCTCTAGGTCTGATTTCATGTCTTGTGTTCTTAACTATTATCTGTCTAGATTCATTATTTGACTACATTGGAAGAAAACATAATTGGTTTTCATTTATATTGAAGGCCCTGTGATATGTGCTATGGAGGAACAACATAATCAATAGGACATCTGTATTTAATAAAATGCTAGGGGTACCTGGGTGGCTCAGTTGGTTAAGTGTCTGACTTTTGGTTTCAGTTCTGGTTGTGATCTCAAAGGTCATGAGATCAAGCCCCACATCAGGCTCTGAGCTCAGTAAGGAGTCTGCCTGAAAATTATCTCCCTCTGCCCCACCCCCTGCTTGGCACACACTCTCTGTCTCTCAAATAGATAAATCTTAAAAAAATAAAAAATAAAAAATAAACTGCTAATATTCTAAGAATAGACCTCAAAGAATATCTCTTTTCACCAAACAGTTGAAATAGTAGAAATACACAGTAATCATATTTGTAAATGATACTGAGTTTATGTGTTTAGAGAAAGTTTTCTGGTTGCTGTGATGACTCGTTACCTCTGTAAGTGGTCCAACCCTCCTCATGAGGAGGACCATCATCATTGGCTTATTTCACAGGCCATTACTTACTCAGAACTCATGAGTCATATAGTCCAAGAGACACTATACAAAGATAAATTAGACTGTGGAACACAGTATGGGGATAGAATTAGACATGTGGAAAGGATAATTTGATACAATAAAAATCTGAAAGAAAATGAGGAACAAAGAACATTCTTCTCAAGCCTTAGTATATAACTTCAACGAGGAAAATGAGGAAGAAAAATCAGTAGAGAAGAATTAATGGTTAGAGTATTAGGAGAATCAATAATCTAGCAATGCTGTCCAATAGAACTTTCTTGATAATGAAAATGTTCTATCTGTGCTGTTCAATACAGTATAAAATACTCGTCACTTGAAAGCTAGAGAATTTCCCAAGTGTTTTCAACCTGGGACTTAATCAACAGTTTTGGGGATTGGTTTACTTCTGCCAACTCTTTTGGGCAGACTGATTTGCTTGCTCATTTACTTCTCTTCTTCATGATTTTGCCTCAATTTGGACAGGTAATTCCTTACTCTCCAGCATTTTGACTTTAAGTTTTCTGTAATCCATATTTTATTTAATAAGTTTTTTCATTGGAAATGTTCTGTGTAGCCTAATCTATTACTAGAAACAGGAAGCTTTTGTATTTCATGGAAGAATACTATGCCTACAATTTTCCTAGGCTTCACGGCATTTTCTTTCTTTTGTATATTCTTCCTTTACTATTTTGTCTCAACTTTGTTTTCTTCATTTATTTCTTGCAGGATTTTTTCATAAGTTCCATGTTGAGAATATTTTGATTGTGACTTTTCATTGATAGTGTTCTTTTTATAAGCTAGGCTAGTAGGCAGCTTAGATGTTTGATCCATTGTTTCCAGACACTTTCTTACCAGCATTTTTCTCTATATGGTGGACTCCCTTCGTGGCTAGCCATAAGCTTCCCTAAAGCATCTGATGTATTATAGATTTTTTTTCTACTTCTTGTGTTCTTATTGCTATTTTTATTTTCAGAGTGGATAGATGATACAGACATCTCTTTCTGTAAACTTTGATGACAGTTCTGTTTTATTTCTCTAGATGGGGCTGCTCTGTACATTGCTGGTTCTACTATAAAGTTTAAGGCTTATAATTTAGTTCTCTGCCAGTTTCTAACCTTGCACTTCTGTATTTCCACATGCTTCTCTTTTGGTACCATTGTATTTATCTCCTTTTGGTACCATTGTATTTATCTCCATGCCTTGAAGAGTATTTTGATTGATTTAGAAATAAGTAGCATTTTATTAATGGCCTCTCATTTCTTTATATATTAGTGAGGCTTTGAATTAGTTGATTTCCAATATTCCTTCAAAGTTAGTGTTGTTGTTTTTTTGCAGGCTTATGTTTCTAAAACTTATTTTGTAATATATCATTTCAAAAGTAAGTATGTAATACAAGGAGAAACTAATTTTTTCCTTGAATTTTCATAATTGCGCCAAATGGTAAGTATCCATAGTATCTTTCAGTATGTAAGTGGATAAACTGTGGTACATTTGTGCAATAAGATATTATGCAGCAGTAAAAAGAATGCTCTATAAATTCATAAAAAGACATAAATGAACCTTAATTAAGATGGCTGACTGAGTTACTGTGTGATTCCACCTATGTAACCTTGTGGAAAAGACAAAGCAATAGAGATACTGAAAAGATCAGTTATTATCCAGGGAATTGAGAGGGAGAGGAAGGAGGGATGAATAGATGGATGCCAAAGGATTCTGAGGTTGGTAAAACTATTCTGCATAATACTGTAATGGTGGGCACATATGCTTTTGTCAGAAGCCATACAACTGTGCATCATACAGAGTGAACCCTAAATTGTGGACTTTGCTTAATAATGTATCAATATTGGTTCAAGTGTGGCAAATATACTACATTACTGCAAGATATTAATAACAGGAACACTGTATGTCAGTTGGAGACATACAGTCTCCTCCTACAGGGGTGTAGGAGGAGAATATATGGAAACTACTTTCTGTGTAATTTTTCTGTAAACCTAAACTTATTCTGGAAAGTAAAACCTATTAACTAAAATATATTCATATCTGATAAAAAATTCACAAATATGACTATATATAGTAAATAACCATACATAGTATCTAAGTAAGAAAACAACTCATATGATAATGTATTTCTTTTCTATTATTAACAATTTGATCTTTATTCTACCTTTTTCAAAACGTTTTTAGAATACCTCTAGTTACTCCTGTTCCTATATTTATTTTTCTTTTTGGCCTTTTCTATTAGGTGTACTAGCCCTATCTTGGTACCCACCTGGTACAAATGATGAGAATGGAGAAAATACTGATGACTTGGTACCAACTATTTTGGATAAAGCTCATAAATATAATCTGAAGGTATTTAATTTTATATTTTTATTGAGATATCATTGGCATATGACATATTTAGTTTCCGGTGTTCAACATAATGATTTGATAGGTTTATTTTGTGAAAGGATCATCACAAAAACCTAGTTGACATTCATCATCACATTTTTACAAATTAGTTTTTCTTGTGATACAAATTTTTAAGATCTATTCTTATTGGCTTTTAAATGTATGATACCATGTTAATTATAGTCACCATGCTATACATTATATACCTAGGTATATTTTTATTTTATGACTGGAAATCTGTACCTTTTAACCATCTTCACTCATTTCACCCTCTACCCCCTCTCACCTCAGAACATCTGTTCTCTGTATCTATGAGGTTGTTGTTGTTTTGTTTTGTTTTGTTTTTAATTCTACATTTAAGTGAGATCATACGATATCTGTCTTTATCTGACAGACTTATTTGTAGCATAATGAACTCAAGGTCCATCTACGTTGTAGCAAATGACAAGATTTCCTTCTTTTTGTAGTAAAATAACATTCACCTTGTCTATATAAATTTTCTTCATTAATGGACATTTAGGTTATTTTCATTTCTTGGTTGTTGTAAATATAGGCACACCTTGTTTGTGATGCTTAGCTTTTTATGCTTTGCAGATACTATATTTTTTTTTAAATTGACATTTTGTGGCAAGGCTGCATATAGCATATATATATGTATATATATCAGCACTATATTCCAACAATATTTGCTTCATGTTTTGCATCACATTTTGGTAATTCTCACAGTATTCCAAACTTTTTCATTATATTGGTTAAGGTGATTTGCGATGAGTGATTATGACTTGTTGAAAGATCAAATGATGGCTAGTGCTTTTTAGCATTAAAATATTTTTTAATTAAGACACATACATTGTTTTTTTAGACCTAATACCATTGTAAACTTAGACTACAGTGTAGTGTAAGCATAACTTTTTTATGCACTGGGAAGCCAAAAAAATTCATTTGGCTCACTTTTTTTTTTTTGCCATATTCATTTTATTATGATGGTCTGGAACCAAACCCGTAATGTCTCTGAAGCATGGTTGTAAGGATACAGTAAGCATAGGTATTTTTTCAAGCTTGTTTTTGTTTCCCTTGGATAAATACCAGAAAGGGGATTACTGGATCATATGGTAGTTTTATTTTTAATGTTTTAAAAAACTTCCATAAAGTTTTCTATAGTGGCCTCATCATTTATATTCCCACCAATAGTGCACAAGTGTCCCCTTGTCTCTACATCCTCTCCAACACTTATTATTTCTTAAAGTTTTATTTATTTTAGGGAGGAAGGGACTTGCACATGAGCAGGGCAAGGGGCAGAGGGAAAGAAAGAGAATCTCAAGCAAATTCCACACTGAGTGCGGAGCCTGACACGGGGCTTGATCCCACAACTCTGAGATCGTGACCTCAGCTGAAACCAAGTGTTGGATGCTCAACTGACTGAGCCATCCAGGTGCCCAACACTTGTCATTTCTTATATTTTTGATAATAGCCATACTAACAGGTGTGTCTCATTGTGGTTTGATTTGCATTTCCCTGATAATAAGTGATGATAAGCTCTTTTTTATGTACCTGTTAACCATCTGGATATATTCTTAGGAAAGATAGTCTAAACTACTGCCCCTTTTTAAATTGGATTGTACTTCTTTTTTTTTTTTTAAAGGATTTTATTTATTTGAACAGGGGGAGGTAGAGAGAGGGAGAAACAGACTCCCCACTGAGCAGAAAGCCCCATGTGGGACTTGATCCCATTACTCTGAGATCATGACTTGAGCCAAAGGGAGACACTTAACTGACTGAGCCAACCAGGTGACCCTGGGTTGTACTTTTTAAATTGATTTTGGTATTAAACCCTTATTAAATATGTACTATGTAAATATTTTCTCCCATTTGCTATTTGCCTTTCACTTTGCTGTGCAGAAGCTTTTTAGTTTGATGTAATCCCACTTGTTGATTTTTGCTTTTGTCTTTACTTTATGGTGTCAGATCCAAAAAACCATCACTACGACCTGTGTGAAGTAGTTTACCACCCGTGTTGTCTTCCAGAAGTTTTATACTTTCTAGACTTATGTTTTAGATTTTAATCCATTTTTAAAAAGATTTTACTTATCGAGAGCATGAGCAGAGTGAGGTGCAGAGAGAGAGAGAGAGAGACAGGGAGAAGCAGACTCCCTGCTGAGCAGAAAACCTGATGAGGGGCTCCATCCCAGGACCCTTAGATCATGACCTGAGCTGAAGGCAGATGCTTAACCAACTGAGCTACCCAGGTGTCCCAATTTTAATCCATTTTGAGTTACTTTTGTATATGGTATAATTTAGTGATTCAGTTTTTCTTCTTTTGCTTGTAGCTGTAGTTTTCCCAACACAATTTATTTGCAGAGACTGGCCTTTTCCTATTGTGTGTTCTTGGCTCCATTGTTGAAGATTAATTAACCATATCTGCATGTGGTTCTTGGGGGAGAGGGAGGCTTTCTATTCTGTCTATTCCATTGATCTGTGTCTAGTTTTTTGTTTGTTTTGTTTTTGCCAGTATCCTACTGTTTGGATTACTATAGTTTTGTAATACAATTTGAAATCAAAGACATTGAGTTAAGTGTCTAACCTTGGCTCAGGTCATGATCTCAGGGTTATCCTGAGATTGAGCGCTCTCTTGGGCTTTGTGGTCAGCAGGGGTCTGCTTTTCCTTCTCCCTCTCACTTTGCCCCTCCCCTGCTCTTGCTTCCTCCCACATGCTCTCACTCATAAATCTTTTAAAAATTTTTTTAATGTTTATTACGAAGGGAAAACTTCTTTTTCCAAATAACTGCATGTACTATAAAATGACATATTAGGAGTATGGCATTAGTACTAGTATGCAGAAAGATCAATGAACCGTAATAGTACAGAAACAAACCACTTTATATGAGATTATAGTATATAATTCAAGAATCACTTAGAATGAAATATAAAAGGAATGTCTATTAATAATCTTATTTTCATGATACTGGTTTTGTTTTTTTGCATTATCTGTTCTCCTGTTTTAGGCAACAATTTTCATGTCTGATAATTCTTAGATTGCTCATTTTTCTTCAAGTTTATTCCTGTTTTTTAAGGTAGTGTGTTAGCAAATCTTAATGAAAATGTGACTCAGTGTCTTTTCACTACAGACTATTTACTCTGAATTCTCAGGTTGTTACTACTCTTAAAAATCACGAGGGTTTTTATTTTGTCTGAAATGCCTTGCAGTTTATATATCGTAATGGAAGACAGGCTTGTTTGTCCAGTCAAGGTAAATTAACTGAGTTCTTTGAGAGATGATACAGATCACTGTTGAAATATTTGTTTCCAAATAAAAATATGAAAAATTACTTTTAATTCTTCTTTTGCAGCATAAGGATTCAGTAATTTATTGGGGAGTAGAACTGGAACTCTGGGGAAACAGGATCAGCTAAATAGGCAGGTTCTCCCCGCCCCACATTCCTGTCCATAAAACCTTATTTTTCTACTTTATAATCCTAAAGCTCTTAAGGCTGCATCTCCTAAATTAGCTGACTGGAAAGAGCTGTCATTTGCCATATCCCCCAGTACCATTCAGTAAGCTCTCATTGGCACTTGAAATCTGCAAATACACAGACCTTGCAAATTCTGGCACCAGGTCTGAAACTGGATAAATAATATGATTTATCTTCCACAAAACAGGTCCAGAGGCCACTCTTCTGTCCATGTAATTATAGGTACTTTAATCCTGGGAGATAAGAGGGAAAAGGCCTTCACAACTCAAGAAAGCTGGCTTTTTAGTATGTACTTTCAGGAATTTAAAGGTAAAATGAGGGTGTTCTGATGCCTGAGGATAGGTTTGGTTTTCTCCTGTTTAGAAGAATGTGGCAAAGATGTCTAATTGTCAACATACTTGGTCTCTCTGTACTTTAGCTTTTATATCTAAAGGTCAGAAACACTTGGAACCAGACAGGCTAATTTACAAAATGTTTAGGATAATTTCTTGGCCTTGTGTCTGCCGAGAGACTATGCAGTGCTTACAAAAATAGACCAGGAAGAGACTAGAGTTATCTCAGTTACTTCATCTTCCTTGCTTATCTTCTTCATTTGTAGAATGACAGGATGAAACCATAAGATGATTTTATTTATTGGATTTTTGTGTGATTTCTGTAGTGTTGAACAGATTTTTTTTATAATTAGATAAAGTGTAATATATCCTGTTTTTATAAAGAATGGAAACTTTGCCTGCTAATACAAAGAAAAGTTAATGCTTAAATAATGACAGTAACTTACTAAAATTAAAGTTCTAAGGCAATGATAGAAGAGATGAATAATGTTGTGAGTTCTGTGCTAATAGACTGGGGCCTACGATGTGCATAACTTCCCACATCTGAAACTTTAAAATAAGTGGGTTTATTAGTAACAACTCTTTTTACCTTGCTAATTTTTTTAGCACAAGGAAATAATCTCCCCTTTCCTACAATTTGATTAGTACAGAGTTGCTTAGCCCCTTCCTGCCAAAAAAAGCAGCCTGGGAGCTTTAAAATTTATCAATTTTATTTTTAAAATATTCGAATAGTTTTTATTAAATGTTCTAATAGTTTTAATGTATTCGTTCTGTTCAATCTTGATTGATAAAATTAATCATTCTTTGGGTTTGTTATACTCTTTCTACTTTTTGAGCTGAAAACGTTTTTCCTTTTATCCTCATTCTGTTTTTGGTTTAGGAATAGAGAGTTTGTTAAAGAATGAGTTTGTCTCACAGTAAAGCTTTTGTCACACCTCATTAGTTCTGATTACATAATGGTTTAACTAGTATTAGTCACTAAGTAATTTGTAATTGCAGCTTTTATTTACTACCTACATCCAAGAGTAATTTTAGGTGAGTGCTTTAAGTCAAATGAGCAAGAATAACAAAAATGTTTGACACTTTAGTTACTTGTTTTGCTTTATCTTTAGCAAACATGGACTAATTAATTTCTTAGGGGTGCAGAGTCAATGAATAA